TAAGGGCCAGAGGTTCAATCCCGGGGCCTGCTGTGCCAGCCCTGCCCCTGGGCTGCGCTGAGACTGGGCGTGGTGGCGCGCGCCTATAATCCCAGCTCTTGGGAGGCTGTAAACAGTAGAATCACTACAAGTCCAATCTAGTAGTGAGACCCTGAACACCCTGTAGATGTAGACCCTTCCCTAAAATATATATATATATTTTTATTGAGAAACAAATAGCAATGAGAGTTTCAAAACCAATTAGTAGGACAGTTTCAATAATTAATACACTGCATATTGTTGTCTTCTTGGAATGTGACTCCCCTGGACTTATTATTTACTATTGATTAGGCCCCAGACTGTAAAGACAGCTGTTAACCAGAAGAAAAGTGGTAAGTCGTGAATTATTTTGTCAAATAACGATGCAAATGATTTCTTTCTGTTAGAGACAAAAACTCTGAGCTTTCATTGTGCTATAGAACATTAACCAATTTTGGGGCTGGTGAGATGGCTTGGTGGTCTAAAGCACCTACTTAGAACAAGCTTAGCAAAGCACAGGAACTGCGGTTCAATCCCCCAGCACCACATGCCAGCCAGCCCCGCCCCCTGGTGGGCTGAGCTGGCCACACACACACACACATACATACATAAATAAAATTAAAAAAGAACATTAACCAATTTTGTATTCAACTGTAGCAGTCATATGAATATTCCAGAGTCATTCTTGTGATTGTTTTAAGCAGATTTCTCTCTCTTTTACTTTGCCCATAGGAATCTGTCCCTTCCTATCTGTCCCTTCCTGTGGGACCTTGGGCAAGCTTTTCCTGGTCTGGTCCTTAGTTGCTTCATTAATAAAATCAGCGAGGTTTGGCCAACATGTCAGGTCTTAACATGGCACATTGCCAGGGGCTTTGGAGCTAGCTCAGCAGGTCTAAGCACCTGCCTGGCAAGCACAAGGACCCGGGCTCGATCCCCAGCACCACATGCCATGCCAGCCCCACCCAGGGCACGCTGAGCCAGCCATGGAGACTGGGCGTAGTGGTGTCTATCTGTAATCCCAGTGCTGGGGAGGCTGAAAACAGGAGGATCACTACAAATTGGAGCTGTGTAGTGAGATCCTGTGCCAAACACATAAAATTAACATGTCATGTTTCCAATTTTTCCTGCAGGGAAGCAGGGCTGACATGATGGAAGATGGACTCTAGAAAGGCTATTGGAGGCTGTTGAGCAAATTGCCTGCCTCCTACCTGTCCTCTGTCTTAGCAGATGAAGAAAGAGAGGCTCAGAGAGGTTAAATAACTTGCTGAAGGTCACGCAGGCATTGTTCATAATAATGAATTTTTTCGGCGTGGTATCTGACAGTATAAACTTCCTCATAAATTCCTATAACCCTATGAGAGGCTAGTGAGGAGACTGGGTGTCACCCCCACTTTACAGATAGGGAAACTGAGGTCCAAGTTGCATGGTGAGTTCTGCATGGTGGAACACTCGGATTCCAGCTTTGCTCATTTGCTGGTCCTGGGCGGGGGGTGGGGGGTAGCAGTAGGGTCTCGGGAACCACCCTTCAACTAACACCACCCACTTGTGACTGACAAAGACAAAATCTTTGGGGGACTGGTGCTCATGGGAATGGCAAAGATGTGGTCACGAATTGGTCCCCTCTTTGGGGGACACACAGTCACCCCATGTGAAGAGAAGAGTTGCTCCTGGGCTCCACACAGGCTGTGACAAAGTGCAGGTGCTGCCAGGTAAGGAGCTCCCTGTAGGTGAGCGTGAGTAGGGCTGGGTGACCCATTCAAACACCAACAGCCATCATGTTACCTTGAGGTGACAGACGGCTCAGCCCTCACCCTGTGTTCACCAAGTGTTTTGCATGTGTGTGTCATTAAAAGATTAGACTAATGCAGTAAGATCCTTTTTCTCAATTCAAGATAAAGAAACGGAGGGCCCAAGAGGTTAAGTAACTTCCCTAAGACAAGCTAAGTTGGACAGTAATTACTGTTCTTCTTTCTCCTTCCCAAAATGTACTTCTTCCTTTTTTTTTGTCTTTTTGAGACAGGGTCTCCCTATGCAGTTCACCCTGGTCTTTAGCTCACTTTCTCACCCAGGCTGGTCTCGAAATCACAATGATCCTCTGGCCTCAGCCTCCTGAGCCCTGGGATTACAGGTATGGGCCACTATGCCCAATTCACTTCTTTCATTTTTGTGTTTTCCAACTTTTGCTAACAAACAACACGCTGCTTTCACAATCATGCAGAAGGCCTGCATATTATTCTGATTTTGAAAGTGATTCCTTCCGCCCTGCTGTTCTTTTTGCCTCTGGATCCTGCAACCCCCACTTCCCCTCCTGCCCAGCCCCCACTGCAGCCACAACCCTGTCAGATGTCTCCCATCCTAATCTTGCTGAGATCTACTCAAAAGTTCCCTGATGACTTCTTACTTCTGTTCCAAGGGCCCAAGCTGACAAACGGAAGGACAGGCAGGAGGGGATGTGAAACTCAGCCAGGCTGCAGCTGCAACACCCTGCTGGGCTTCCTACCCAGCTCCTTAGGCCAAGGACAGGAGCATCCAGTTGGAGTGGGCACTGGAGGCAGGTGAGGCCAGGGTCTGGGAGGGAGTGTTGGAAACTGGGATGCTGGCCGGGGCTAGCTCGCTGAGGCAGGCAGGCAGGCAGGCAGAGAGCATGCTAGTTGGTTCTGAGCTAGGACGGAGGTGGGGTGGATTACACTGTGTGTAGCAGAGCTAGGACAAGTGAGTGGAGGAGTCAGAGCCTGGGGTCTAAGCCTGGCAGGGGAGGGAGGTGGTGACATGGACCTAACATTCTAGCCAGGGTCCTGGGAGAGGGCTGGGGGATCAGGCCCAGCAGTGGAACCCAACAGAAGAGACCTTGAGGGCAGCCGGTGCCCATCACTGGCTGGAGACTGGAAGGGGCCAAGCCTGCCCAGGAGCAGGCAGATGTGTCTGAATTCCTGTGCTTATGCACAGCTCTGCTATCTGGCTGAGAGCGTGTTAATTAAATAAGGAGCGGGTGCTTGATAAATATTTGTTCACAGAGATTGATGGTGTGTGGGCGTGTATGAGTGTGTGCACCAGTGGAGGGAGGGAGGAGGGGGAGGGTGCGTGTCCAGGAGTGTGCACCCCTGCTGTGGGTGCCCAGGGATGTACCTGGGTGGGGGTGCCCAGTGCCATGAGTGTTTGGTGTGAGTTTCCACCCTGCGGTGGGGGGACCGCTAGGTGCTGGATTATGAGTGGCTGTCGAAGGCTCCTGTATGTACACACACTGGGGGAAGGACAGGTGTGTAATGGGAGTGTGCAAAGTGACACTCAGGCTGCCTGTGTCCTGCCTGTGTCTCTGCAGGGACGTCATGTCTCCTGGGGAATGGCTGGTGGTCTGCATGCTGGCCGCATCACTGGCCTCTGTGGTGACCGAGGATGTGTGTCGAGCACCCAACGGAAAGGATGGGGTTGCAGGAAAACCAGGACGCCCCGGGCGGCCCGGCCTGAAGGGGGAGCAGGGGGAGCCAGGTAAGGACTTTCTGTAGGCCTCTGGGCCTAGCCAGCCTCTAGGTGGAGAAGAGGGGCTGGCTCTGGGTATCAGGGGCCCACCGAGCCCCTGCCCAAGGCTCTTCCAGGCTGCACTTGGCCCTCAAGCTGAGAGGTCCAGCCTTTTCCTCCCCCATGGCCCAGCCCCCAGCCCCTTGGCACCTGCTTCCTCCTCTGAAGAAGGAATAGCTTCTCTCCATGAGTGTGAAAGGCTGGAAGCGGCACCTGGCCTTTGCTCTGTACTCTGTTACCAGAATGGCAAAAGCCCCAGATTTTAGCCCCCAGAGCTCCTGCCTTGCTGGGGGACCTCAAACAAGTTACTGAACTTCTCTAAGCCTCAGTCTCCTCATCTGTAAAATGGAGCTGTAACCCTGCCTGGCCGGAGACGGACCCACGAGCTGCAGCTCTCTTTTGGGCTCCTCCCAGCACCTCTGCGACTGCTCCCTCTTTCCTTCCCCAGTCCTTTTAGCCTTCAGAAACAGTCTCATTCTAGAAAACAGGTTCAAGTGACAGACATGGGAGGAGCTCAGGGCCGGAGTGGGAAGACTCCCAGGTCATCCCTGAGCCTGTGGGTTCACAGCAATCCAGAAAGTCCTGTGGAGATGGTTGCAGAGATGTGTGCCCAGGCATCTGCATGAGGTCCCAAGGCCTGAAGACAAAGGGTGGGTGGGGTGTACTGCCAGCGGCAGGGTGCCCAACTGGGGTCCCAGGCACCTCACCCTTGTCCTGCCACATGCCTTCTCACACACTCTCCATGTCACAGGTGAAGCAGAGGCTCAGAGAGGTTGAGAAACCTGTCCGAGGCCATGCAGCCAGTCAGACCGCATCGCTTGCTGTCCGAGGGGTTGCCCCGCTCTTACTGTCCATCACACAACACTAGGGCTTCCAGCTGTCCCTGAGGCCTGGCATACCCCAGGTGCTCTCCTCTCATTTGATTTCTTTCCCCCCAGGAGCCCCTGGCATCCGGACTGGCATCCGAGGCCTTAAAGGAGACCAGGGGGAGCCTGGGCTTCCCGGGATGCCGGGCAATGTGGGCTACCCAGGACCCAGTGGTCCCCCAGGGAAGCAAGGTGCCTTGGGACTACAGGGCATGAAGGGCACCCAGGGGAACATCAGGGACCAGCCACGGCCAGCCTTCTCGGCTGTGAGGCGGAACCCCCCACGGAGCAGTGGCACTGTGGTGCTCTTCGAAACGGTCATCACCAACCAGGAAGGTCCCTACAAGAGCGATTCTGGCCACTTCCACTGTGCCGTGCCTGGCTTCTACTACTTCTCCTTCCAAGTGGTCGCCACGGGGGACACCTGCCTGAACATCGTGTCCTCCTCCCAGGGTCAGCAGCGCCACTCACTGGGCTTCTGCGACACCACTAACAGAGGCCTCTTTCAGATATCCGGGGGCACAGCGCTCCAGCTGCAGCAGGGGGACCAGGTCTGGATAGAGAAGGATCGCTCTAAGGGCAACATCTACCAGGGCTCCGAAGTCGACAGCGTCTTCAGTGGCTTCCTCATCTTCCCATCTGTCTGAGCTGGGAGCTGCCTAGCACCTCTGCCGCCACTGCCTCCGCCACCGCCCTGACCTCCTCCCTCCCCACCTGGGACCCCAGCTCACTCCCCCTTCTAGGGAACTTCTGCTTTGTAAAATGGGGTGCTACTGTTCTAGCCTGCTGAGTCAAGGGACTGACTCCAAGGTCTCCAGGACCTGCCACCAGGGTGCCCCCTGAGAACATCCTTATAGTCTTCTCCGGAATAAATGTCTACATCTCTATCTTCTGGGTTTGATGTGCACTTGCTACTTGGGGCATTGGGAAGGAGGTGAGAGGGGATCATTGCCAGTACCTGAGGGGCCACTTGGCTTTAGTTGCCAAGTGATGCATTTAGCAGGTACCCAGTGCCTTAAATTCCCAGCTCAGATCTAGATGCCACCAGTTAGCAGCTGGCTATTCGTGTGCCTCTGGGATGACTCCTGGGATCTCGGCTTCCACATTGTATAGCAGGGCTAATAATGACAGCTGCCTCATGGGGTCAGCAAGAGAAGCAAATGACACAGCATATGAACATGTCAGGCCAGGCCAGGCTCTGGGCTGCAGCTGTCAGAGGTATAGTCAAGTTCGCAGGTGGTGTCATGACTCCTTCACAGGATGAAGTGGAGGCTGCGCCAGGAGGGCCACAAGGCACCAGGCCAGCATCTCAGGAGGACCTTACTGTCCCCAAGCTGGTGGATGTAGCCAGTGCCCTCACTGGCCTCTACAGTTGTGCTTAACAAGTCCCTCGGGTGCTTTCCCGGTGCCAGCCAGGAAAGGGGAAAGAATCAGAGAGGGGAAGCAACTGGTTCAAGGGCATCCAGCAGTCCTCTCCCGGACAGCACGGAGGCTGGGGCTGCTGTGTCAGGGGCCTCCAGGCATCTGACTCAGGCCAGGAGCAGGAGGACCCTGAATGCTCACATGCTTCCCCAGGATGCCACTTGCCCCATCTCGAAGCCACTCAGGAGCTACAAGCCCTGGTGTGTCCTTTGTGTGCAGAACACGGGCCCAGCGGTCCATGCTGAAAGTGCCCAATGTCCTGTGCCTTTTATCTTTGTGCAGCACAGACACACAACCACACCACTCACACACAGTCCCCACCACTTGCACACACCATCCCTCAAGATCCACGAGGTCCCACACTCCTGGGTTGAGGTCGTGCATCCCCATAGAAACTTGGGCCCAGTGATATCTACACACACGCACACACACACACACACACACACACACTCACACACCCGTGTGTGCACCCTTGGAGACACACACTCACTACATCTTTGGACATGTGCATACTTGCACACACATTCAGGGACGCATAAGCTGTCGTACCACCACCTGCCGCACACACCAAGGTGCATTCATGAGCCATCTGAATTGTGTGCCCTCTCACGCACACCACACGTGCAGCGCGGATCCACACGCAACCCTGGAGACCCACGTGCAAGACACACCGTGGACAAGAGGATGCCACCCCTCACACCCAAAGAGTCCTAGAGATTCTGTGTTCTCTCCAGTGCTGACGCCACATGACCCACTCCCACGGGGCCATCCCCAAGGACACAGGGACAGCCTCCCAATCCTGGATCTTAACACACACAACTCCCACCCCTGCCCTAGGCCCTGCGCTGCCACTCCCCTGCCCTGCCAAGACACTCTGGGGTCAGGAAGAAGTGCAGGTCCTGGGAGAGAATGCAGGTCCATAGCCCGGGCATTGCAAGTCCTCATAGCCCCTCGGCTCTCTTCTGGGGGCTGCTCGGCCCCAGCACCGCCCCGCTTCCCGAACACACTCATCCAGATCTACAGTGGCCACTGGGAGTGGGCCCTCCCCCTGCCTCCAATGCATTGAAACCCAGCAGGACAAATTCTGAGGCCCCGAGAAGAGACATCTGTCCATGTCACACTGCTGGACACAGATGAGAACAGGGCTGCCTGCTGGATCTCAAGAGGAGTCACCTTTCATTGCAATGGGATTGGAGGGTGGAGGCTCCATAAGCGGCAGGAGAGATGGTTCAGGAAGTGCCCGGCTGTCTTCTTACCTTGAATACCACCCATTCCCACCTTTCCTTACCTAGTTCTAGCCAGAGCCAGGCCAGGTGGACAGGGCAGAGAGAGCTGAGTGTGGACCAAGGCTGCCACCTGCTGGACAAACTATGCCTAGGCACAAAAGAGAGAGAAGAGTGGAGAGCAAGCTCCCTCTGCCTTGGGGGGGGGGGGAGTCTGCTGCCTCTGTTCCTCTCATCACTCCCCCCGCTGAGGATGCCCAGGATCAAGTGCATTCAGGTCCTTGCCTTGCCGCCTTGTGCCACAGGTGCAGGTAGAGATGGGGAGACCACGCCCTGAGGGTCACTCGGCCAGGACGGGAAGACCCTGAACTCGTGCTAGACACAGTGCGTGCCTCACACCCCAGTCCTGCTGTGCTCCATGAGGGCCTCAGGGAACACTGCTCTGAGTTCAGAGAGTGGAGGGACAAGGACCCCAACACTGATGCATGGCACTTGGGCCCTCAGTGCAGAGGGAAAAAAATCAGAGGCCACGGGGCAGTGACAAGGGAGAGGCCAGGCTGAGAGGAGAAGCTGAGCCATCCAGATCTCCTGGAACGGCCACACAGATGGTTCTAAAATGAGCCACTGACAAGTGCTGGTGGGGCCATATGGGGGAGGCTGATAGACATGGCTGGGCATTGGGTGGACCCAACCCAACTTGGGGACATCCGTGCCCCACAGCTATGTCCACTCCTATGTGTGCGCACACCCTCTGAAGCACAAGACAGGCAATGGGCATTTCCTCATCTCAGGCGCATGACCAGGGTGGGAGAAGGAAGGGGTGGACAGGGTGTTGCTGTGGTCAGCCTGGCTCAGAACCCAAAAGAAGTGTCGAGTCAGGGAAAATGGAAGGAAAGGGGATGTGGGATGGGGAGCAGCGGGGGAGGGGGCCCAGCCGCACTCTGGGAGTTCCCGCTCTGCCCACTCTGACACGATATCCTCCTGCTGGGACAGGGGACACGGAGCTGAGGACATCGCTGTGACCGAGACAGAAGCCCCCATACCCAGGTGAGGCTGAGATGCAGTTCAGGTGTAGGAAAGAGGCAATTTCTGCCCATCTCCTTCCTGAACTGCAGTAGGGACCTCCATCCACACTAACAGGGGGCAAGGGTACAGGAGGTGGGGTCCAGGGACTGTGGGGAGCCCAGGATAGGGTGGTGGGGAGGGAAAAGGGGGACTGGTAGCTAACTCCACACTCTGTCTCAGCTCCCTCCCCAGGATGGATGTGGGGCTCCCCCCTGGGCTCCACCTGCTGCTGCTCCTGCTGGTGGTGCCCCTCAGGGGCCAGGCCAGCCCAGGCTGCTACGGGATCCCAGGGATGCCAGGCCTGCCCGGGGCACCTGGCAAGGATGGTCATGATGGGCTGCGAGGGCCCAAGGGCGAGCCAGGTGAGTCTGTGGCCGAGGGTGGGCTGGCCAGGGCCTGAGTGTCCATCTGTGAGGCAGGGGACAGAGGTAGGAAGTGCAGGGCCCCACTCTCACCAAGGGCTAGCACCTCTGTTCCCAAGGCCTCCCCAGCCGACCTCTTCCCTCTGCGTTACTGGGGTAGCAGGGGAGCCCACGTCCCTGCCTGCTGGTAGCAGGGGAGCCCACGTCCCAGCTCAAGTGAGGCAAACTCTAAAGCAGCCCATAACTGTTGTGTTGTAACCCCTGGGCGAGTGCTCTGCAGTGTGGACAGTGACCCCGATGGCCAGAGTCAGCCCCAACCCCACCACTGCCCTCATAAGAACTCCCACAAGCCACTAACCTTGAAGTGCCTCGGTTTCCCCATGTGTGAAAAGAGGAGATCCTAGCGCTGCCTCGGGGCGCCTAGAAGATGAAATGCACGTGACCATGATGGTGCCGGTGCCTGGCAGCTGCTGTCCAGGTGGAGTGCACAGCTGTCATTGCCTTACAGAGTCTGGGTTCAGCTCACTCCCCAGGGATTGAGTGCTGGGAGGGACTCAGGAGTGGAGAATCCTATGGGGGCTCCCAGGAGAGCCCCCACATGGGCTTAAGGGCTGTGGATGGAGGGCACAGGTGCTGGGGTCCAAAGGCAGGCAGAGTGGCGACCCTGCCTGTGAGGGATAGCAGTGAGGTTGGCTTGGCTGGGCACAGCTTGCAGGGCCAGGGCCAGGTGGAAGGGAGGTGAGAGGTGAGGAGACCTTGCGAGCCCTATTTCACAGATGAGGAAACTGAGGCCAAAGTCCTCTGAGAAGCGCTCGGCTCCCATTTTTCAGTGTCAAAGCTGGGGTTCAGCAAGACTGAGCATCTTGCCCCAAGTCACACGGTGGGGTTCCGAGCAGCTCCAGAGCTCACACCCTTAGCCACTCCCTGGACACCCCATGGGATCCTTTCGATTGTTTCCTGGGCCCAGGGCTGAGGCTACCATGTGTCAAGGAGGGGACATCACCTAACTCAAAGCCTGGGTCCTGTGGATCCTGATCCACAGTGCCAGGTCCTGAGTTATAGGAGTCTGCTGTCATCCACCCCAGGGAAGGCAGAGGAGGAAGGGAGTGCTGAGGCCAGTGAGCTGGGGGCTGGAGTGGGCCTGGAGGGCTTCCTGAAAGAGGAGGCTGGAGTCAGGCATCAAACATGGGAGGGGTTTGCAGAAGGGTGCAGACTATCCCAGAGCTGCAGACCCTCAGGGCTGCAGCAGAACCGCACTCTCTGACTAGCACTCAGCTCAGCCCGAATCCTGCCTCCGCCTTGTCCTAGCCAGGTGACCTCAGGCCGCGTCTGGCCTCAGTGTCCTTATCTGTGAGCTCATGGAAGTTGAACCGGAACAGTGGTCCCTAGGGCGGAGGACTGAGCTGAGCTAGGGCAGTTGGAGGGAGCTGCGCCTTGGGGGGCTGTGTTCCAGCCCACACAGCTACTCCTGGATGGATGCTGCCAGGGCTGTCACCGGGTGTGCAAAGATGTGGCAGGACCCGAAGGTTATCAAGACAATGCTAAGAAAAAGAGCACAAAACACAATAGCTGGTCTTGATCACGGAGATGGTGCGGTTACACAAATCTATACATGTGAAAAGTTGTGTTGGAAACACACACACACACACACACCTTGCCAAATCTGAGTAAGCTCTGTGGACTACATGAACCTTGGTTTCCCAGTTTTGTTCTTGTACTTTAGTTCTGCAAGATGTGTCACTAGGGAGGACCAGTGAAGGGACCTGGCCCTCTCTATCTCCTACCCACCACCACAAATACAGAATTGCCTCCAAATATGATGTTGAAAAAGAAAAAATCAGGCAAAACTTATCACAAGGGGTGATGCCAGGGGCCCAGGCCTGAAGCTCAAGCTTCCTGGGCTTGCGGGGAAACCTGCCTCTTGCCACTGCACTGAATTTGGTCAAGAAAATCCCAGTACAATCCAAACAAATTTACAAACCCAAGAGCCTACACTTTCAGGTGAGTGAGTACTGAATTTTCTAATGTTTGGCTTTAAAAATTGAAAAATGCCGTGTAGGCAGAACAGAAGGACCTGGCCTCAGCCATTCCCAGCTGACGTTCTCTGAGACCCCGTGAGCTCTGATGCCTCTGGGTGCTTGCTGCCCAGTCCTGCTGTCCCCATCACAGATGTGGACACTGAGGCACAAGGCAGCCAAACGCCTTAGGCTAGGTCAGTGGGCAGGTCTTAGAGGCAGGCCTGGAGCAGAACCTGCCCCCAGGTAGATAGTCTATCTGGGAAGGGGATACAAAGGCCAAACTCTGCGGGATCCTGGACCCCCTTCCAGTCCCCCACCCCAATTCTGCCCTGCCTGCTCTCTCTCCAGGAATCCCAGCCATCCCCGGGACCCGAGGACCCAAGGGGCAGAAGGGAGATCCTGGCACACCTGGCCATCCTGGGAAAAATGGTCCCATGGGAGCCCCTGGAATGCCGGGAGACCCAGGGCTCAGGGGCCTCCCTGGGTTGCCAGGTGAGGAGGGCAGATACAAGCAGAAGCACCAGTCTGTGTTCACAGTCACTCGGCAGACAGAAAGTCATCCGACAGCCAACAGCCTGGTCAGGTTCAACGCAGTCATCACCAATCCACAGGGCGATTATGATAGGGCTACAGGCAAGTTCACCTGCAAGGTGCCCGGCCTCTACTACTTCGTCTATCACAGCTCGATGACCGACAACCTGTGTGTGCAGCTGTACCGCAGCGGCGTCAGGGTGACTACCTTCTGCGAACACATGTCACAGGGCAGCCAGCAGGACAGCAAGCAGGTCACCTCGGGTGGTGCACTAGTGCACCTCCAGCAGGGCGAGCAGGTGTGGCTGGGCGTCAACGACTACAATGGCATGGTGGGCACCCAGGGCTCCGACAGCGTCTTCTCTGGCTTCCTGCTCTTCCCTGACTAGCACGGGCAGCCTGCTGAAACCCCAGGGCAGCCTGCCTCCCTTGAGTTCCCACCTCTTCTCTCAGTCCTTCTCCCCACCTGAGGGACTTGTCCTCCAGGACGCCCACCCTGACTTCCTGTCCCTCAAGTCTCCTTCTCCTCTGTGCATCGGGAGTCACTATTGCACCCTCTCTTTGACTTCACCATTTCCTTCTGGGACCATCGTTCATGTTTCTCAAATCTGGAAAGAGGCGGGAAGGTATCTCAATAAATAAGTAATTCAATTAATAGGCATGGCCTACATTCCTCACTGCTGGTGCCTTGAATTTGGTGTGTTCAGTGTCAGATCTGCTGCAGTCATCTGGACCCAGGAGCTCTAGGGGTGATGGTGCTCATTCGGCCTGGCGGAGAGAGGTGCTCTGTAGGGGTGACAGCCTCCCCAAGATCCCCACTGGGGGAAAGACGCTTGGGCTCACAGGTAGACAAGAGAGGGCTTGAGGTGCCAAAGGCAGATGGAGTCTCCAGAGTGCCAGGCTCTGCAGAAGTTTGGGCCCTGTAAGCCCAATGTGGGCAGAGAGGAGGTGTGTAATAGATGAGTACCGAGTGAATGGGTGTGCCCATGAGGGCCTAAGCGGGCAGATGAAGGCAGACAGGGAAAGTAGAGTTTAAAATTCACCATATTTAACATTTACTGAGCTCTAAGATGGTGCTGAGTGGGAGAGAGAGAAAGGACAACTCTCCCCCAAAGTCTGGTTCACCCTGAATAACTCGCAGATCCTGGACCCCAAGATACTCCCTGCACCTGCTGCTGCCTTGAGCAGCTAGGTTTGCTCATGAGCTGTCCGTCCTTGAGGGCTAGAGAGGCAGAATGTATAGCTGACCGGGCAGCACCAGGTCCAGGCCTGCAGCATCAGGCCGTGCTGGGGGGAGTCTCAGCAAAGTCCTGCTGAGATAGAGCCGTAAGAGCCACGGCTCATGTGAGCTGTGTCACCCCTCATGTCCACTCCGACCTCTGTGCCATCACCCATGCTGTCCTTTCATCCTAGGGAGCCCCCAGCCCATGGACACAGCTCTCACCTGCCTGATTGATACCCCTCCACCACCAGATGCTTCTCTGAGACATCTGCTCCATGAAGCCCCCCTCAACTTCCCCTGCATCCCCAAAGTATGCTCCACAGACTTGGGCCACACACGCCTGACTCTCTACATTCAGGTTCTCGGGTCTATAGCCTCACTGGAAACCAAACAAATTAACAAAATAAGATTTGCAAACCCCAAGCCATAATATGACAGTCTAGAGAAGACGGGACAGGGAGCACCTGGGAGGGCTGCAGGGGAATGAGACGCCATGGGCCTCTGGCTGGCTTTTGGGTCTCCCTGTGGGGCTCTGAGCATTGCTGAGCCCTGGTCCCTTTGCTGCATGCCCAGAACGTAGTAAGACCTTAAGACACTTGTTAGATGGAAGGGACACACACACACACACACACACACACACACACACACACACACACAGAGCACTGGGGGCAGGAACTCAGAAACCCAGCCTCATTCACTGACCTGAGGTGCTCTGTGGGGCCAGGTCCAGGTCACCAGCCACTGCGTTCACACTGTCCCCGCTGTCAGCCACTTAGTGGTCCACCAGGCAATGCCACAAGTGATACATCTTTTTTTCTCATTTCTCTTTTGTTTAAAAAATCAATACGCCATTTATGTAGGCCACGGTGTCAGAACAGAAACCTGTGCTTTGGAAACAACAAGTTTTGTGCCATTTTTATTTTCCATAATTGTTTCCTTGTTGCTTTCTCTGCGTCGGGAGAGATAGCCTCGGAAAATGCCTCTGCTTTGGGCCTGCTGGACTGGGGAAGGAGGGGAGGGGGAGAAAGGAAGGAGAAGGGGGAGGGGCGCTAGGTTGGGGCAGGAGGCATCAGTGCCGCAGATTGACGAGGACTCTTAGGGTTCATTTCCACTCTTTGTGGGGTCCTCCCCTCTCTATCAAGGGCACAAGGTTGCAGTTTCATGGGTGCAGAGGTCCAATAGGACCCACACAGGGGTCAAGGCTCAGAGTCACCTCAGCTCCTGATCCCTAGTCCCAGACTACCCCTGGTCTGGGAGTGGCTCTACCACCCCCAGGCTCCTTGAGTCCCGTCTGCTATTCACCTATGATGCTCCTCCTGCTGTGTAGCAGGGCCCCAGCCAAATGGGGTTCCCTGCATCCCAGGAGATCAGCACGCGTGCTGCGATTTGGATGGGAGAAAACTGAGGTCAGCACATGCCTCCCAGGCCTCGTGTTCAGAAGGAGGCAGAACCTCTCACAAGCACGGGGGTGGTTGAGTCCAAAGCTGGAGCTTGTAACCCCTGCTCTACTGATTTCTTTTCTCAGCGTTGCCGCTTCTACCCCAAGCTCCAGCTGACCTTTCCCTGTCACCGTTGGCCAGCAGGAACCGGAGTTCAGGCGCAGGTGGCTTTGGGTGCCCTGCCATGCATGCCTGGATCCGTAGCCTCTCAGCTCCTCCACTGTCATTAGAACCCACTGCTGGCTCCTCCTCACCCCAGCCCGGGCCTTTGGGCTGTCACCCTCCTCTTTTCCTTCCCTGTCCCCACTGCAGCACATGTTTAGTCTCCACCCTTAGGTGCCCACGAGCCCACGACTCCCTTCTCCTAGCACAGAGGCCTCCTTCAGCTCCTGAGTGCACTGCCTGATCATCATCACCCAGCCTTGGGTACAGTCACTTCCAAGGGTTCAAGGTGCCCAGCTGCAAATCCTACACACACACACACACACACACACACACATACACACACACACACATACACACACACACACAGCCCTCTGTCATGGGCTGTGTTCCAGAAGTCACTGCTTCTCTGTGACATTTCTTTGTGACGAGAAAAAAAATGCCTTGTACCATTCGGTGCTTGACGCCAGCGTTCCCCAGAAGCGAGACTGTGGGGACAAGACCCACAGCTGGCTGGGGAGGGGGCTCACTCCCCAGTGCCTACACGTAGAAGCAAACCAGGAATATTTGGCAAATGATGGCTCAGCCCTCTAGGCCTCCATTGCCCTGCCTATGAAATGAGGTGTGGGCCGCATGACCTCCTACCCTTCTCCAACCCTAACATGGTGTCATTTTAGGGCCATGAGCAACAGGCGCCTGCCCGTCACCATTGTGATCACCAGCTCCATGTCTGACTGGAAGTGGAGGGAGCGGCATAAATAAATAATAAGCACACTTACAGTGCATTATTCAATTATTTTCAGAGAACAGGGAAAGAGCAAAAGTGCAGAACAGGAAGGAATAGAAGAGTCCAGAAGCAGGAAGCCAGGACATGAAGTGACACTAACAATTACCATATACATGGTTTCTCTTGGAGACTCTTTCTCCTCCTTTATCCATCCATTATCCTCCCGTGGCCCAGAGTTCTGCAGAGCAGGCACAGTTATGAACCCATCAGGTAGTGGAGGATACTGGGGCTCCCTTGGGCTCCTGTGTGAGAACATTTAGCAGTAAGTGGCAGAGCCAGACTATGGGACAGGGTCTCTGGCTCTAAATCCAACACTCTGGGCCCAGGGTGGCCACTGTGTCATCCACTGAGGACCGTCCTGTCTTCATGGAAGGTCACCAGCTCAGAGGGCCTGGCAGGCGAGCGGCCAGCTGCAGACGTCCCTTGGGTCAGCCTGTTCCCCTCGCGGATGCTGAGCAGGCAAAACAAAGCTGGCCACCCGCCACCCCTTTTACTGTAACTCCCGCCCCAAGGGCAGAAATGGGACCTGAAACTGCCTGAAGACAGCAGAATGGGGGGATGGGCAGTAGGGTGACAGGGAGGGGTCCAGCCCGCTGGATCCACAGGAGGGGACTGCCCGGGGAAAGCCCTCTCTGCCTGTGGGGAACGAAACCTTCTGTAGACGGGTAGCAGCACTTCTGGCCCCTGGTCCCACTGCTGCCAGGCCCGTGGCATCACAGGACACAAGGTCCCAGGTGAGTGGGGTGGGGGACATGATATGGTAGAGTGTTCTGGAGAGTCTAGGGCTACCCAGGGCCTGGAGAGTGTGGGTTCAGCCCACAAGAGGAGACCCAACAGAAGGCCCTCCAGGTCACACACAGGAGCTGTGTCCAGCTTCTATCTCTTACATGCTGGTCATCTCCAGCAAGATACCTGACCTTTCTGAGCCATAGGCTCCCTCTAGGGAGACCAGAGCTTTTTAGGGTGAAGTTCCTGGCTCTAGACAGGTCTGGAGGAGAGACAGAGGTGGAATGAGCACCCAGGTCCCCGCTGCCCGGCCCAGGGATGCTCCAGCATCTGCCAGGAAAGCTTAGCTCAGTTCTTTCAAGAAAATGGCTTGATTTGCAGATGGAGTTACATCAGTGATCAGTCAGTCCCGCATGAACTCAGAATGTTTGTTGGAGGCAGAGGAGGGTGCTTGCTGCCCGAGGGTCCTTGTTCCTGCTAGCACTACCTTGTGTAACTCGCCTGGCACCCTGGCAGCAGAAATTAGCCTCGACACAGGAGACCAGAGAGGTTACGGTCATACAGCCAGGGAGTGGCAGACAGAGCGGTCAAGGTCAAGTCGGCTAAGTTCCAAGTGGGGGGAAAGGGACTAGTAAGGCTGGCCAGAGACAGACAAGGTGGGCACATGGACAAGTGGAAGCAAGTTGTCCAACCAGGTAGTTTTTAGTGTCCTCTCAGGTCTGAGACTCAGTGGTCCCTGTGCTAGAGAGGGGTTTGTCCTACCTGGCTCTTTCTTTTCCCAAAAGCCTGAGTCCTGTCCTGACCCTGACGCCTTCCCCAGCTGGAAGGAGCCCTCCACCCTGGGCCACTCCTGCCAGAGACAGCCTGTCTCCTCAAGGAACCAGAACCCTTTCTTCTCCTCCAATGATCTTCTTGCCTGCTGTAAAACTCAGCAATTCTTGGATGAATGGGATCATAATAAAATAGTGACTATGCTTCAGACTTTTCCAACATGCTAGGCTCTGTTGTAAGCTATCACTGATCTGTCCTCACACTGACTCCACGAGGGTGAGACGAGGATTGTGTCCATTTTACAGATGGGTAAACTGTGGCCACAGAGAAGTGACTTTCCTGAGGCCCTTGGCTAAGAGGCAGCAGTGGCCAACTTGAACCTTGGTAGCAGCACGCATTCAACAGGATAGTCCTGTCGTCATCCAGTGGCTGATTTGCTGATTTACTTCCCTGTCCCTGTAATGGGCCTTCCTTGCTTCAGAGTGTCTTCTTCCAAAGCCCATTTCTGAACAGCTAGGGCCCCTTAATGCTGCTCCAGTGGACGTGGGCTGGACCCCAGCCACACAGCAGCAGTGTGACCTGTATCAGCTTGTAGACCTCTCTGAGCCCCTGTTTCCTCATCTGTCAAGGAGAAAGCAAAGGTAGGTCCTGCAATAGCTGTTGTGAGAAGCGAATTAAATGAGCTGATGGTGTTGAAAGCCTTTGTCCCTGAGCCTGGCCCCTGCCAGTGCCCAGCTTAGCAAAGCTGCCAGCTTGTCATTTTGTGACCTCTCCAGCAAAAGTAAGAACTGATGCTTCCTCAGAGATAAGCAGGGTCAATCCCTGAGCCCGGTGCTCAGTGGAGCACAGCAGAGCCCAAGCCAACGCCTCAGGTTCCCAGCTCGCTCTCCTTGGTGCTCTGCGCAGAGGACTGTGCATGAGAAATCGGGACTTGACAGAGAGGGCCCAAGAGCCAGTTGCCAGCAGGTTTTCTGCTCCCAGAGAGGTAGGCACAGTCAACACAAAACACAGAGTTTTGGGCACATCCCCATCAGGGACTAGCTCAACGGACAGCTCTGGATAGGTCACTTGCTCCTTTCTGAGCCTCAGTTTCTGGGTCTGCACAGTGGGCGATGCATCACAACACACTTCTGGGTGCTGGGAGAGTCACACAGTCGGGGCAGCAGTGCAGAGTCTAAACGACGTTTTAAGCCTTGTGACCTCCCTATCCATGATCCCACCTGGATCCTCCAAATGACCCTGCTGAGCGGGCAGAACCCACTCAAATTCGTATTCTAAGAACAGAAATCAGTTCAGCCAGTGCACGAGGACTTCCAGGGGGAAAGGCTTTAACACAAGGCTTGAAGGATAGGGGAGGTTGGATCTAGGCAAAGGTGAATTGGACTGCCCTGACAGGTACTGAAGCAGTGCAAACTATAGGCAGAAGAGCCTTGGCTTAGAATAGCCTAGAGACTGACTATTCATTCCTTTCTGTGGGATCCTAGCAAGGGACTCCACCTCTTCAAGCCTCAGTGTCACCTTCAGTCTGGAAATAACCGTGGTGGCCCACAGCATGGATGTGCCTGGGCACAGAGGCTCCGAGGAATGAAAACCTGTGGGATAAAATCCGTCACTCACATGCGGTCTCCCCTCTAGTCACTTCGAGGCCCTGCTGAGTCTTGTCGTTCTCCCAACTGCTACCTCTCAGAGCCTTCCCAGCATTCTTTCCTCCTATAACATGTCTATCCTTGCCCCTTCTGAACCTTCAGGTCTCAGCCTAGATATCACTTGTCCTCTGAAAAGACCTTCCTCTGCAGTGTGCTTCCCTCACAAAACTAGCCATCTTCCACCCCAGCCGAGGCGCTGTCCTGCAGGGCGCCTTTCTCTTTCTGCCAGGGCCACATCTCTATTTACTTGTAGGTTAACCTGTTTATCATGTTACCCTACTAGGGGTGCAGGGACTACATCTGTCCTGTATGTCTCTGTATGCCCAGGACCTAGTTCAGAGTCTGGTGGATACATGATCATCACTGAACATGGGATGGATGGATGGATGGATGGATGGATGGATGGATGGATGGGTGGATGATGGATGATGGATGATGGGTGGATGGGTGGATGATAGATAGATGGATGGGTGGATGGGTGGATGATGGATGGATGGATGATGGATGATGTATGATGAATGGATGGATGGGTGGATGGGTGGATGGGTGGATGATAGATAGATGGATGGGTGGATGGGTGAATGATGGATGGATGGATGGATGATGGATGGATGGATGATGAATGGATGGATGGATAGGTGGGTGGATGTATGGATGATGGATAGATGAAGGGGGATGCATGGGTAGATGATAGATGGATAATGGATGGATGGATGAATGATGAATGGATGGTTGAGTGATGGAGGGATGGATGGTTGATGTATAAATGGATGAATGGATGTGGATGGGTAGATGAATGGATGGATGATAGATGGATGAATAGATACCTGAATGGACAAATACAAAGATGAATAAATGAATGAATGAATGATAGTCCTCCTGGTATTAAATCCCAATGTCTCTCCCACTATAGGAAGCAGCTGAGATAGCATGGCAATGAAGATCCCACGGGGCACCATCTCAGAGCTGCTCCTGCTGCTGCTTTTAGCTCTGTTCCACATCTCTTGGGCCCAGAGCAGCTGTGTGGGGCCCCAAGCCATCCCTGGCATCCCAGGCATCCCTGGGGTTCCTGGATCTGATGGACAACCCGGGACTCCAGGAACAAAAGGGGAGAAAGGTAAAGTGGGAACACAAGCCAAGACCCCTGGCACCTGGAACCTCTCAAGTCACTGCCTTAGAGATTGCAAAAGCACTTGCCAACCCATTAACTTTCCCAGGAGGGGATTCTGGTTCCCATTTTACAGATGGGAAAGCTGATGTCCAGAAATGCTACTGACTTCCTCAAATTAGCACACTGAATTTAGGCCTAGCGCAGATCACAGATCTCTTCCCACTCCGTCCAGGCACAGAGAGACCACTACTGTGGTCCTATAGTCCTGAACTTGTTTTATCTCCATAGTAGGTGGCTTCACCTCCTGGATGACTTTTGTGGGGTTGAGGTGGGGTTCCAATGAGACCCCCCCATCATGCAGAGCCCTCTGTAAAGTGTTTATTCATTCATTAACCTCTGGTTTGGGGGCAGCCCTCTGTGCTGGCCCCTCCTCATATAATCTCGTTTAATCCTCACAATCCAACAAAGTATCATCATTTTACAGAGGGGGAGTAGAGCTCCACTAACACAGCTAGTACTGACATGTGTGACATGTGATGCACACCTGCTGTCTCCAGAACCTATGGTCCCAGCCACTGTCCTCTGCTGCTCTACCAGGAAAGGGATTTTTCTCTTGCTTCGTGCTAAACCAAGAGGGTGTGGCTCCAAACTTGGAGCTGTGGAGTGAGAGGGTTCTAGAGTCCAGATACAGCCAGAATATGTGCTGCATTTGATTAAGAATGTCTGCCTTGGGTGAGGAATGGAAGGAGTGGCACACATGCTGTGAACTCATCATGCCTGACCTAGGCTTAAGCTGAATGGGCACCTCAGGGGGTACCACTCCCTTCCTCACAAGCATCCATCCCCATACCACAAACATATTCCAGGCTCAGAAACTGGGCTGGAGGGAGGCCTGGCTGTCCTCTCGGACACCTCCACTTCTTTACAAGGCAAATCAGAGACCAGACAGAAGCAGGGACCTGGTCAGTGTCCCATCCTAGGCTCTTTCCTTAGTCCTTGGTGACTTCTCATTTCCTTATCTCTCTTGCTTTTGCTTTTCCAGGGCCCCCAGGGCTAGCTGGAGACCATGGTGAGTTTGGCGAGAAGGGCGAACCAGGGATTCCTGGCAATCCAGGAAAAGTTGGCCCCAAAGGCCCCGTCGGCCCTAAAGGTCCTCCAGGCTTCCCTGGAGTCCCTGGTCCCAAGGGTGAATCAGGAGACTACAAGGCCACGCAGAAAGTGGCCTTTTCTGCCTTGAAGACCCTCAACACTCCCATAAGACCAAAGCAAGCCATCCGCTTTGACAGCGTGATCACCAACGTGAATGGGAGCTATGAGCCTCGCAGTGGCAAGTTCACATGCAGGGTGCCGGGGCTCTACTACTTCACCTATCATGCCAGCTCTCGTGGGAATCTGTGTGTGAATCTCATGCGGGGCCGAGAGCAGCCAAAGAAGGTGGTTACCTTCTGTGACTATGTCCACAATGCCTTCCAGGTCGCCACGGGCAGTGTGGTCCTCAAGCTGGACAGGGAGGAAATGGTCTACCTAGAGGCCACCACCCAGAACTCCCTGCTGGGCCGAGAGGGGGCCAACAGCATCTTCTCAGGCTTCCTCCTCTTCCCCGATGTGGATGTGTGACTTGCCAGGCAGAGTCAGGGTTACATCCGTTCACGGCCGTCGAATGCTTCCCCTGCTGGTCATGCCTACTTTCCCCCTGTCTGACCAAGCACAGAATAGAGCTCTGTGAATGGTGGGCAATGAATGAGTCAATAAACTCTTAGAAGCCTAAAGATAGTGTCTAACTCAACTCTGGGTGCCAGTACCTGATCCACAGTCGATACTCGGAAATGCTGATTGAATGAATGACTAGACAATGACTGACTGAATGAACAATTAGACAATGACTGACTGAATGAATGAATGACTAGACAATGAATAAATGAATGAATGGACAATGAATGAATGAATGAATGGCCTCTGGATGCAGAAATCCCACCTAATTGAAGGTGACTGGAGGCCAGAGGGTCTGTGTCCTGCTCTGGGACAGCCACACAATGGAAGACAGGAACAGGGACACTTATGGTGCTCCAGGCCCAGGTAGGACCCCTTTCTCATTCTCCTTCATCTTTATACTTCTTCTTGGAGACAGGTTGCCTTTCACCCTATTTATAGAGGAAGAAACTGAGGACCTGAGGAGGAAGTGACTGTCTATAGTCCCACAGTGGAGCTGGAATTTTGGGGCAGATCTGCCCACAGTTGACCTCCTTCAAGGCAAAATGTCTGGGCCAACCTGCACTAGGACTGGGCACTTGGCATTTCTCATTACCCCCCCCCCAAAAAAAATCAAGGGGTCCTGCTCCAAATGACCTGGGAATAGCAGCCTTCCCCTCAGCTGTCCCCATGTGCCCTTTCTCTGTCTTCCCAGCTTAGTGCTCAGTCATCTAGTTAGAACAAATGCTCTCCTCTGCTCACAAACCTCCAGTGGCTCCACACTGCCCACTGGCTACAGGGTCCCAGCCCAAGAACCCAGGCTTCTGCCCCACTCAGAGCCCTTCTGTCTTGTAACAAGCCCATTCTCCCTGCAGTGACCTTCCTCCACTATTCCTCTTGCTGGAAGCCTTCAACCCCACTCAGCCAACAGCCTTTAAAACCCCAATCAGATTGCACCTCCTCCCCAAAGCTGCCAACCCAGCCCTGGCTCTCCCTCTCCCACCTCTGACCACCTCCAAAGTCATTTCTCACGTGCTCAGGCCTGAGTGTGCCCAGCTGCACCTGGAGTTCCACTCGTGCCCATCCCCTCTCCCCAGCCAGGCTGCAGCTCCTGACCCTGCTCATCTCTGTGCCTGCTCAGAGCCCGAGAGGCACAGAAAGCCACTTGATAAGTCTTTGTGACCCCAAGACACAGCTCGCTGGGCAAGTTTCCCTCCCTTGATGTGCTGAGGAGACTTGGGGTGGACAGGCAAGCCCAGTGGTCAGAATAAGTTCCCTGTGGGCTGCTCAGGGGGCTACACTTTAGGAGCCATCACCCTCCTTTGATTGGCTAGGGAGGGGTGTCACACAGGGATCCAGGATTTAGATCCAATATGTTTAATTTGTGTGCTTAAGGTTTGGGCGTTTGCAGCAGCAGATCTTTTCCACATCTGCCCCTTTTGGACTCCAGGGCCACATCCTGGCTTCTCCACTTTTACCCGCTTGTTCCTGCAGTGCAGTGGTCCTGGCACGTATCCTCCATTCTCAGGTGAAATTCCTAGAAATAGACTCCAGAAATAAATGGGCTGCAAACTTCAAAGGTTTGGAGTGTGTTTCTCTGGGAAGCCCTGCACTGTCAGGGCTGAACGTGGCAGGCTAGCTCCCGGCCCGCTACCACCAGGGGGAAGTAGACACCAGGAGAAACTTGGCCTGGGAAAGGCCGTGGTCAGGTGCCACCTGGGAGCTTTCCTCTCTCTCCCCCCTCGGGCAGCTCGTCTTACTTTCTGGGTGGGCTGTGAATTTCCAGGGTGGGGCTGAAGGTCAGCTTTGAAGCCTACACTCTCCTCTCCGGTATGGTCCCTGCACCAGTGTCACCCAGGAAAGGGTTAGAACACAGTCTCTCTGCCCCACCCAGACCTGCCAAAGCAGGAAATCTGGGCAGGGGCAGCAGCCTGTGTTTAACAGGCCCTTGCATGTTTGAGAACCAACACTCCAAGGGCTTCAGCGCTCTCCTACATGAGCATAGGTTCTGGGTTTAATCCCCAGCTCTACAAAAAGAACAACAAAAAACCAACATGCAACTCGGGGGCACACATCTCTAAGCCCAGTTACTCAGCAGGCTGAGGCAGGAGGATTGCAAATTGAGGCCAATGTAGGCAATGGAAAAAGACTGTCTCAACATAAAAAGAACTGGGAATATAGCTCAGTGCTTCCACCCGTAGTACTTACAAAACAAACAAGCAGAATGAAACCAATCTGAAGAATCAGAACTCTAGGTCGTGGGTCACCAAACACTTTCTGTCAAGACCCAAACAGGAAATTTCCTGGGCTTTGCAAGCCTTGGAGTCAACATTCCAGCTCCTCATTTCTCCTCCTCCACCCCTACCTTCTCTCCATCCTCTTCCTCTTCCTCTTTATTTTCTTATCCCTCTTGTTCTTTTCTTCCTATAATGGGGATCAAACCCAGGGCTACTCCATCATGAGCTATGTCCTCATGAAGCTACTTTTATTTTTAT